TATAAGAGAGGAGAACTGCATTGACCTCCCATTATAATATTTATTTATACAAAATAAATAATTATATTTAAATTACCCTACATATATGAGGAAAGTAATTTAGTAAGCAAGCAATTCAATTTCTTCCTTTCATTAGCATTAAGAACTTTGCGCCATTAGAAGATAGATAATTAGTTAATTACCTTCAGGACATTAACTTCAAGAAATCTACGAGGAAAAATAATTGCTTTAGGAGCAACTATGATCATTATATAACATCTCCATATGAAAAAAATTATTTATATATCTAAAGATTAGATAAATTTATCTAATTCAAACAACATTCGACCTTCACCAATATACTGGAATAAAATGCCCAATTACCAAACTATGCTTCCTTCACACGTAGCATTCGAAGGGTGGAAAAGAGATAATCTTCGTTGATATTCAAGACGGAGAAGCAATCTGAGGAATTTGTAGATGGCATTAATAGAAACGGTGTTGTGTGAAAAGTCAGATAAGAGTTTCTCTCCAGTCGTTGATGAAAAGATAGTCAGAGAAATAGAGACAGTTTTATTGAAAGCAAGCTGTATTAATTAACCTATCGAAACTATTTACCTTTTAAATTAGTTTGAAAATGGGTAAAAGATTTTAATAAAAACCAATGAATAATGCTGCATTTTGCTTAATTATGTATATTAATACCTAAAAATTTGCCTTTGAAAAGTTAAATCTATGGTTCATCACATAAAATACCTTTATTGAATTTTATAAAGATACGCCTTCGTTATTTATTCTTTTGTTTTAAATTACGAACAGGTATAAATAATTTATTTAATTAAACTAGTGTTTTCTATGAAAATAGAGTAATGAAAATTTTCTAACACTTTCTCGGATATTTAATTAAATGTACATGAAAAATGCCAAAAATATGCTATGTCTAATTATTTGATTAAAACAAAAGCAAGCATAAGTATTTACTAAATATCGGTAATAAATTTTGAAATTGGAATAACATTTTTCTTCTATAATTATGTATATTATTTCAAAAGACAAACAAAAATATATATTATGTCAAAATGTTTTATCGAGAAAGGTTTTTTACAGGTGATATGTAAGTGTTACGAATGTTTAAAGACAAGATTTTTAAGAAAAGAGTAAGTTATTTAAATGTTTAAATAAAATATTTAATTATATGTTACCCTCTATAAATAATTAGATGTTGCAATATCAATATGGTAAAATGCTTATTATTATTTATCAATTCAATATTTTTTTATTAACACCATACTGTTTTCAATTATTATTTTCAATGAAGCACTTATATTACTTGTGATCATATGTATAACAAATGTATTCAGGTTGTCTGCATTGACACGCTAGAGTAGCATGATCCAAGATAAAGAAAGCTATTATGAGAAAAACAAAACGATGTTGAGCAGCTTCGAGTTTTTACTGTGGCTAAATAAAACATTCTTAATTGATGATAAAAAAAACTCGTTGACGTACAATATGATGCTCGCTACAATATGATGCAATATGTAGCAAAAGAAAATGGATGACTGATTTTTCTTGATGCACCAGATGCCGAAATTCGAGAGCGTAATGAGATTGGACTTGATGCAACATCATCAGGGAAAAGCTTCCAAAATACACTGAATTTACAGCAAACTGAAACTCCTATTTTCTATATTAGTAAAAGTTCAGATATGACCACACTTTTAAAAACATCCAAACTTATTATTTGGGATGAATGCACCATGGCCCATAAGAAAACTCTTGATCGTGATTTTCGAGATTTGAGAAAAAATAACTGACCAATGAAAGAAGCTCTTATACCATTAGCAATCATCCAATATCAACGCCTGCTGATGAATTTAAAACTTGCCTCAAAGAGTCACATCATTGGAGACAAGTAATGAAACTTACTCACTTATCAACCAATATGCGTATGCATTTACTTAAGATGGTTCTGCGCAAATGTTTACTAAGCAACTTTTGATTTTGGTGAAAAAAAGGTTCCAAGTCATCCACTAAATCTTTATGTAAATATTTCGTCTGATTTTTGTCAAAAGCAGCCTATAACTACAAATTTATTAAAGATAGTTTTCTTGAACATTACAAGCAGTTTCAAAAATTATTTTTGATTTCGGGAGCGTGCAATCTTGCTTCCAAAGAATGATGACGTTTAATAAAATAAATGATTAAATTCAGCTACAACCTTTCAATGAACCGACAATGGGTTAAACACAAATCTGTTGACACAAATGTACCTGAGGATCAAGCTGCCAGCTATCTAATAGAGCTAATTAATTCTTTAAAACCATCTGGAATACCACCCCGACATAATCAGTCTGAAGCTGGTGCACCTATAATATTCCTCCAAAATACAGATCACTGAAAAATGTGTAACAGAACCAGACTTACCTTTAAAAAACTAATGTGAAATTTGATTGAAGAAACAATTATTAGCAGTAACTGTAAATGTGAAGACGTACTGATTACATTTATTCCAATGATTCCTATCGATTTGAAATTTGATTTCAAACGACTCCAGTTTCCAGTGCAACAATTAACAAAGCCTAAAGATAAACACAAAGCATTGCTGTATTAAATTTAAAATTCCGTTTTACACGTGGTCAGCTATATGTTGCTTTTTCCAGAATGGATAAGCTAACAATTTTTTTTTCTTTTTTTCATCAAATGACAAATCAAAAGTATTGTTTATCTACCAGAATTACAATAAATAATTTTTCAAACAAATATCTTTCATTATTAAAAACAAAAACAAGTATTTTGCTTAATAAGCGTAGCAATAAGAATATGCAGGAAATATGTACTTTTCTTATAGAAAATTAGCAATAAAATTAAATTAAATCTGCCATTTTAGTACTCAAAAAATTGTTTGCTGTTCTTTTCCTAATAAAATTTTTCAAAATAAATATGTATTATTTTCTCTAGCTGGGCAACTCTAAGTCATATCTGCTAGTCCTCGTACAAAATTTCTAAATTTATTGTCAAGGGAATCATATCAAAATACCATATTCATGAATTTCCTTTGATTATTCAGTCGTATGCCTCCTTTCAGTAAACCGTTTTACCTTTTTTTAACAAACATATTCTGTTTACGGAAAGTGAATTTCTCTTAAGAGTTTAATGTTATGCACTGCATGAATACACGTCCTTTGATTTGTCTGAATAAAATGAGTCATTTTAATAAATGGCAAGTCCTTTTCAATTTGATTTGCAAGCCCTTTTCAGTTTGTTTAAGAATTTATGCTCGATGTTTCGGTTTATTACAAATTAAGTCAGCTCTTGCTTTCAACATAAGTTTTGAAAATTTCCAAAATTATGCTCTTAATGCTCGACTGGCTTATTTTTGTGGATGCATTTGATTAAAACATATTTAATAATATTATCTTCAAATAAGGCATCTAACCATAAGGATGCTCAAATTAGGAATTTAGATTACTTTTGAAGAAAAGTATTGCAAATCTACTAGAAGCAACTTCTAAATACATCTTATATAAAGGTATATTTAAACTTACACATAATAATCTCATCTTACGGAAAAGATCTAAAATATTTTCTACGAAAACTGTGCTAAACATATTTCATTTATTACTGACACGCATTCCTGGCTTTATGTCAGGATAGTAGGCAAAAGTAAATAAATATATATATATATACAAAGAAAAGTATGCAAAAATGTAGTATTGTATGAAATGATCGTTGTGTTAAATCCAAGATGTAGACATCTAAATAAATTTTTTAAGTATATCGTTTAGAATATAAATAAATATTAGTTAAAGGTTAATATAAGTTAGCTAGACTTCCATAAAATATATGATAAAATAGATGACATGTGAATAATTAATTAGTTTGTATAATATTTTATTTTGAACATAGTATAATATCTAGGTAATGATCAATTCACAGACTGTATCATAACATTTGATATGTTACAAATATCTAGTTCCTTTAATATGTGATACCTTTTTCTTTAAATTAATGCATCTACTGGTTCATCAATGTTTTTTATAGAATGTTATATTTATATTCTAATCCATTCACAGTAGAGCAAAACATGCTGAATTTTGGAAAGAAATCATATTTGGATGAAATCGCCTTGAAAATTCTTTTAAAGTGATTTTTTGGGAATGAGAAATTCAATTTGATAGTTGCAAAGCTCTTTTAAAGAAAGTTCGTTGCTAATTACATATTAAATATCGTTGCTAATTACATATTAAATATCGTTGCTAATTACTATATTAGGTTTCTCGATAAATATCTGAAATACCATTGTAGTTGTGTGAGGATTATTTTCTTCGAATGAATATTTTATCAAATTTAATTAAAGATAATAAAAGTTTGATTACTTTAAGTTAAATAATAAAAAAATATAATTTATTAGTGAAAATGTATATTAAGATAATATGTGTTAAATTAATGTTATTGAAATTATCTGTCATGTTTTTTTATTATTAGCCATGTTTTATATTAATTTTAATACAATTTAATTATTTCAATTTGAATTTATTTTGCAAGTTAAACTATTTTAAAATTTCCTTTTTTTTTTTAAAAGATAATGTTAAACATATAACTGTTAATTATTTCATAAAAAATAACTTTATTAGCAAAGAACTTTTCTTTGTGTTTTTTAATAATGTAAAATAGTTATTACTAACAAAAATCATTCATTTAAACTAAAAAATTAAAATTACCAATCTTCATGTTTGTTGTTTCTTATCCCACTTGGCTGGCCAAGCCCACGAGCCCATACGACTCATGATTGAAGGGGAAGGAAGCAGCTTCTGTTGTGATGGAGCACCCGTAGGTAGAAGTCTGACTTTGGCTCCGTTACGCTCTTGCAGTCATAGGAGACCGGGACCTACGGCTTAAAGTGGATTCCGAACCACTACAAACATCCATGGCATCGCCGAGATTCGAACCCGAAACCTGTGGCACCGAGCGCCAGAGCGCTGGGCACTCGGCCATTCAGGTCCCAAATTTGTGAATGCCGACGGCACGCGGTGTTCCCAGGGGGTCACCCACTCAAGTACTGACCGCGCCCAATGATGCTTAACTTCGGTGATCTAACGAGAACCGGTATATTCAACAGGGTACGGCCGTTGGCGCTACAAATCTTCATAACAAAAATAAATAATTTCAAATAGTATCTGAAAAGAAAATGCACAATCGTAACCGAACATCGATTCTTTTGAATCGGCTTCTGAATTCGATTCACAGCCTTTACTCAAAGATTCTGAAAGATTCTTTAAGGATAAAATGAAATTACTTTGGGGAAGTTGTCTCGGGGTTGTTTATAAATGGATAAGCTTTCAAAAAAGTGAGAAAGTTATCTTCATTGCATTTCTCTCACGAATAATGACTAGGAAAGTGTTCATGATATAATTTCAAATCTTTAAACATTGCCTCTAGAGTTCATTCAGATAGTTGTTTCAATGAATAGCTATGCGGATATTATTTCCACTCCATGTATTCAAAACATGTGCACTATAGGAAACATCACATACATAATTTATAATCAGTTCTATGGTAATAATTAGTGAAACGTTTTTGAATGTACCAATGCAAATGTCATAGCCATTTGATGACAAAAAAAAATTAGTACTCATTCGTTTAATGGAGGAAATGTTTGCATAGACTGGATTCGTATAATGTTCGTATTTTTTTTCCAAATCGAAAAAAACACTGCTTGATGTAAACGTATTAATTAATAACTAAATCACATTCTTTATTTGTTCATATTATAAAGATTATATAACATGAATTTCTTAAGTTATGGATTATCATATTAATTTGATTTCACGCTTGAGTTTTTTAAATATATTTCTATTATTTAGGAAATATAATTATTATTTATTTTATTGTTATTCATTATATAGTTATCTATAATTGTATAGTTATTTATTATAGATTTATGTTGTTTATTATATAGTTAAATTTTTTTTTTTAAATAATTTTAATAAACTGTCTTATAAAAGTTGTTTTTACTACTCAGCTATGTAAATATTCTCATAGTATAAATAGAGTTGTTCCTATGCTTTAACAATTATATATAAATTATTATAAAATATTATAAAATTGCATTTAGTGAAGAAATATAATTATTATATAATTATTGTAAATAATTGCATAATTGCTATAGAAATATAATTATTGTAAATTATTCAATCTTTAAGGCATGTGAAATATGAAATTCTGATAACAAAGAGATCATTATTATTCAAAAGTTTTGATCCAAACATTTTAATTTATGTATAAAATATTCTAACCCTTATTTTGTGTTGGAAAACATTTTGAGGAATTTCCCTAAATAGACCTACTGCAATATCCATGAGGTAATAGCTAGTAAGCGAGAAAGTTTTCCATTTTGCATTTCAGTATTAAACAGGCTCGTCGTTCTTGATTGGGAAGTATTTTTGTGCTAAAATAAATTGGTAAAAATGATTCTTTGAAGATAAACATTCTGAAATTTGAAACTTTTCAACAAACAGAATTTATAGTAGCAACTACATTTCTGAAATTTGCAATTGGCATTTACATGAGAGAAATGCTTTACAATGTCGAAATATAGAAAATCACTGATATATACTAGAAATCAGTCAAATGAGCAATAGATTATAATATTGACTCTCTTTTGAATAAGGGGTAAACCAACTTACCTTAAAATATTTCAAATATGTTGTTTAAAATTTTATAACTTTTCTTACAGTCGAAGTTAACTTTAGAATTATCAGCAGGCTGTTTCATAATTGCTGTTTCAAAAAGTTTTCAAAAGATGGTAACGATAACTTAAGCAAGTTTTTTCATTTTATGTAAAGGGTATAATTGAAGTATACAAACATTAAGCATCTCTGCTAACACAGATTTCATTGTTCCGATCTAACAGGAAAAATTCTAGTTCGCATTTTTTCTCCTCCACTACTTCTTTTTTACCGTTAAATATTTAGAATAACTAGATTTCATGATTTTCTTGATTCATGAAAGTTAAATATATATTTCTCTAAAAGTTTTATATTATACTTTGCTAACGTTTTAATTACTTGAATTATTTAATTTTCCACACTTCCGTTATAGTAAACTGATATTAAAAATTAAAAACATTTTTTCCCGTTTTGACAATTTTCTGAAATATACTAACCGAACAACTAGATTAATGCTTCAAGCAAAGGTGCAAATATTTAGTCCTGAATAATTAAGCATATAAATACCTGTGGTGGTACTCACAGACGAATAGATTTCAGCAACACAAGGGGAAACTTCAGATTTTATTTCTCTCTTTTACCTCAATGGATATCATCGCATGTTTTCTTCAATATTCGGTTACGCAAAATATTGTGTAATCAACATTTACATTATGGAACAAGGTGGCGAATTATAAAAGGAACGAAAACAGGAAAATGCCACGTGCAATTTTCTAAAGACTAAGGCAGCATCGTGTCCAACGTAGGGAAACAGTTTAAAGATACTAAAGAGTATGCCTGGAAAAGGTCTTCTAAAAGTCACGATGTCCAATGAAATTTATTATTCGTCCCCTAAAACGAAGTGTAGTGGGAGTTAATACATTCTCAACTCTCTAATAACCTTCATGCTTCATCAACCGAGATTCAAGGGTTATTGTTTCCAAAATGTTAGGTTTGTTAAGAACGTTTGTGTCATTTTCACACTTTTGTCACATTTCTGTTGCTGTCGCCATCACTTCTGCGCATGTTAACAATATAGAGATCACTAAATTTGGTTCAGAGATTAGTAGAGGACTGTCCAATTCGCTGATTATTCCTGGTTTTGCCTAACTATTTATTCTCTAAGTACGTCCATTCAGAGAAAATCAAAGTTTTTTTTACTTATCCTCCCGCCTCCGAAAAAAGATAATAGCAGAGGTGTTATGGTCTGGAAAAGCATCCTGTTTGATTTGCTCATAAACTTCCACGTCTTTGTCAGAGGATTTATAACTTCTGTGATATATTGAGATAAGATCTTGGAACTCTATATTTGACTTTGAAGGGGACATTTGAGTCTAATTTTATTTATATAGACGACAAATCGAAAGCCCAAAAAGCTCCTTCAATCGACAAAATTCTGGAAATTTCGCATATTTGTAGCCATCCCTCCAGATCTAAACTTTATAAAAATTCATGTGTAGCTCTTAAAAGGACAAATGAAAATCGCCTTTCATTTCCCAGAACTTTCCAGGTCCTAAAAATAGAGTTGCTTGCGGGCTGAATTCTCAAGGGACTTGCTTTTCAGTATAAATTCATGACGGGAGACAAATGTAATTAAAATATAGGATTATACCTCCTATTAACTAATTTCATTTCTTGTTCGATATTGCAAGCACTTCACTCGTAAAGTGCTTGCAATATCGAAGACGCTGAAGAGTATCACGCATTAATTATCATAGGTGTATATCATAACTGTTTGATTATTTTTTTTTCTTACATCCAAACTTCATTTCACTAAAATCTTTTTCGAAGTCCTTGAGATAACGGATTTAGTAAAAATTTTAAACACCAATGCATGTCACACTTTTTTAACACATCAGGGTTTCTTTTTCATGATCGAAACTTACAGTTCGAGTATCACTGACACAATTGAAAAAGTAGATTAAATATGCAATTTTTAAAATGGGTTCTTTAGGCTCTCATCAGTTAATTATAATAAACTATGAAATTCCAAACAATCGATGTTATCGATTGAAATACATTTTACAAGAAGGGAGTAAGAAATCTGAGTTTTTCCTGCCATTGAAAAAGCTATTTTTAGAACTCTTATAACTGCTACAAGCTGATTTTTCACAGCACAAGAACAGACTTTTCATATATTTCACTTCATGTTATATTTGTTTAAGGACAAAAAAATATATATAACATAAAACTTGTATTGAATTTCAAATATTTTATGGCCAGACACAAATATTTTATAGTTTTATGTTTCTGTACAGACACTGCACTTTTCCTCCATTGTCATTGAAATTTCTGTTCATAAATTAACTGATATCCTTCTCATCTTATTTCTACTAACTTTTTCCATCGTATTTCTATCAATTTTTTCATCTTCAGCTACACGATTAAAAAACTATCATTGAAAATGAAGAGTTTTCGAAGAAAGAAGCTTATATAACTTCGCTTGAAATTTCACTTCACGTACCTACATGCTTCAAATGCATAGCAATGAACTCTCTGTAATCCAACATTTATGAGACTGGACATCTGTCTCGGATTACAGACAGTGACCGTAGTAGCAATTTAAAGTACTGAAGGTCCAAATAGAACTGACATCTAGTGTAAAGGGAGAGAAAGGGTTCAAGTTTTAAAAAGAAAAACGATCCATTGTCAAAACACTCGCTTTTCCACACATACGTCGGGCTAGTGAAGATGTCGAATTGGAGAGTGTAGGATTACAGAGTATCTATCTATTGTACTCGATTCTTTAACATGGCAGGGCGAAAAAATAAGTCCTTCCAGAATTAATTCTCAAAGCATTATAGCAGTCTTTATATAAAGACGTGGTACTTCATTTTCTACAAATTTAACTATATATTTGCTCAAATTGCAATTTGAGCAAATATATAGTTAAAAAAACCATAATAGTTCATTATTATTTGGATACGCTTTAGTAGCTATTGAATATACTTAAAATTTTGCTTTTTTTATGGAACTATGTATAAATATTTCTGGATTTTGATTTATTTTTTCCATCTGTATTTCTATATTAATAACTCAGATTCTTCCGATTTATTTATATTCAAGTGGAATGGCTTGACTTAGCATAAAATAAACATATATAACATAAACCTTGTGTTAGATTTCAAATATTTTATGATCAGATATTTGAGATATATTTAAATACAAGAACTGCACTTTTCTGCCGTTGTCATTGAAACTTCTATTCATAAAATAACTGATATCCTTGATTTGTCACTTCCACAGAAAAAAACATGTGAAAGAAAGAAACTTTCTCCAACAAATGAAAGCTAATATGCAAGGTACCAAGTTACTTTTAGCAATTATTCCAGTTATCATTTTCAATAGAAAATCTTGTATTTCAAAAGAATAAATAAATAAATATTAAAATAAAATTAGGCAAGAACTTTTCCATAGCACAGAA